GAAGAGCTGTTTTTCGACTACAGGTTGGTGCGGGCTTGCGCCTCCTTGGCGGCGGGAGTCGGGCCGCTGGCCACGCGCCCGTGTGAAGCGCTGCGGGGGCCCGGCTCGGTCCTGGGGGGGCCTCTGGCGGGCCACACCCGCCTGGAAACCCAGTCGCCCGAAACCAGGGCCCACGTGAGGGGCCGACGGGGTGGGGGCTTGGGACCCTCGGGCCTGTGCGTGCAGCTGGGTCTTCCGCGCCCGCTGGGCTGCTGCCGGGTCACGCCGCGGACTCACGGCTCCCTCGTGTCCTTCCAGATACAGCCAGGCGGACGCCCTCAAGTACGTGGGCATTGAAAGAGAAATGGAAATTCCTTGACATCTGCTACCTCTTCCTCTCCCTCCTCCTCTATGGAACAGCTGCCTTAGCTTCAGGAACCTCGAGTACTGTGGGCAATTTAGAAAAAGAAAATACAGTTTGAAATTCTGAATTTGCAAAGTACTGTAAGGATAATTTATAGCGATGAGTTTAAAAAAATCAACTTTTTATTGCCTTCTCACCAGCTGCAAAGTGTTTTGTACCAGTGAATTTTTGCAATAATGCAGGATGGTACATTTTTCAACTTTGAATAAAGAATACTTGAACTTCTCGTGGCCTGGCATTTCCTGCAGCTTCGTCACACGCGTGGGCCCTCTGGCTGCCTACGTCGTCCCTCAGCACAGGCGCACCCCGCGCTAGCAAGGTAGACAGTGCCAAAGGGGGAGACGGGGCCGGGACACCCCTGTGCATTCAGGCTGGAGGTCAGTAAGGAACCACGACACCACCACAGGCTTACCCAGGACATTCCAGCCCAAAGCAGCAGACACCTTTTTCTCCCTGCAAACAAATATTTGACAGTCAAGGACGGAGCCTCCCGGGCACAAACCCGTCTCGCCAGCTGCCTTCCCCACCCCGGCGGCCCAGGGCGAGCGCCCGCCCCCAGGAAACCAAACCCGGGAGCTCGGCGTGCCCCTGTCGCCAGCAGTACAGGAACGCGAGGAGACGCGAGGTTGGGGCTGGTGCCGGGCCGCCCTGCTGTGTCCTGACCGGGGCCCGGGGCCGTGGGGCTGCGCAGCGACAGGAGAGCCCGAGGGGTTACGGTGGGGGCACTGCGAAGCCGTCCAGCCACGGCAGCTCGAGTTCGCCCCGGCCAGGGAGGGCCCCCCAGGGCGCAGCAGACCCCTCCTGTCTGCTCCCCACTTGGGTGAAGCCTCTCAAGGCCCCTGCACCTCTGGCCTGTGCCCCAGCTCTGGGTGCACAGATAAGTACATGAAAAAATGTGCATCTACATTTATAAAAACGTTAGAACTAGAAAAACCAGGCGAAGTACAAAGGCAGAAGAAAACTATTGAAAGTAGCGGGGAAATGAGCGAATTGGCAAAGAGGCAGCGTGCTGAGTCGCGAGCTGGCTATGCACGAAGCCGGCAAACCCCGCATTAGACTCACTGAGGAGAAGCTCGGGCGAGGCCGACGGGCGGGCGGGCGGGGGGCTGTACCCCAGGGCCAGGCTCGGAGCCCCCGAGCCCCTCGCGTCGCCGCTCCAGGCCCACGAGCCCGCGTCGGTGGGAGCTGCCCGCCCCTGCAGCTGGCACCACTGACCCTGGAGGGAGGGGGGCGCCCCGCCCGCAAAGCTGGGTCGCCCCAGGGCCACAGCCATGGCGACGCCCCCCTGGGGAGCTCAGCTTCCCCCAGGCGAAGCCGCAGGAACGCGGGTCCTCGCCCGCCTCAGCTCTGCTCCTCGCAGC